TCTGATTATCTGGCTCTCACTAGTTGTGCTGGGGCCGATGTGTCAAGTATATATACGACCAAACCGATGTTATTCTATCGTGAGGCGCAAGTAGTAGTCAACGTCAACCCAGCCGAACGGCAGACACTAGTGAATAACTAGTTCGTGTTACAAATTAAAATTTGTCTTGCTTAGAATTTTAAACGTTTATTGGTCATAAACTGATCAGTATACAATCAATTGCTCCACTGTGCATAATGTGGTCCGTCACGGGCCGCGCACCGGAGTGATCCTAACGTTCTGACTAACCACGCATCCGCCTCACCTCGAAATTTTTACATTTTTTTARCGCCTTTTTTTTCACTGCGTAATTCAATATTTCTATTATTATAAGTTTATAAATACAGAAGRAGTAWAYTKTCCCGCAGGCCRCGTAAAACAGTTTTTGCCATGTGGTACGTTTGTGTAAAACAAACTCAATAGATGCGGGTTTAGTGTCCACTAAATTATTCTATCATAATATTSAGAATATCTTTAGAATAMATACTTATACAGGATTATTTAAATATTTTTTCTTGTAATTTCGCAGTAAAACGAAATATTTAAGTTCTGAAAAAATGACAAATTAAATAAATTAAATAAATTCTTATTTGTCATGTACTTTATTATTATCTATTGACAAAATGACAACATATGTTGTCTATATAGACCTCATGCTCGACTTAACTTAAGTCTATGATTGACAATAACAAAATTGAAAATATCATTATTTATCATTATTAATATTAGTTGTATCATATTTATTTATCTATTGAATAGATTCTATTCTGTGATGTTATTATACATTATATTATTATAAGTTTTTGACATAGTGCCCTATTGCAGATCACCCATTTTATATTAATTTGTATTTATACCGAACAATTATTATTTTATTATATCAATATTATTGTCATCATTAAAAATTATTAACTATCTATGGTTCTATGCCCTATCTGATTGTTGATAGTCGAATGGTAATTAATGGGCCGAYATATTTTAAAATTTCGAGCGCCGAGACGTCATGCTTTAAAATTTTGCCACCCGGCAACCATTGTCTAATCACTGTGGTAACATAAGTTCTCTTCGATCACAGAACGCACCGTGTATACGGTATAGGGATGGCCCATCAATTTCTTTATTATCTATGATTATAATCTCTTCAAAATGTTATTAATCATGCTCGTGTCTTTTGTTTATTTTAATTTTAATTTTATGTTTTARTGTTTAATAGATACATTTTTGCTTTATAGTTAATAACTGCAGGGGGTATGCACTCGTACATAAGCGGCCCCTAGACGATCAATAATATTGACGAGTTAGATTGACACCAGCGTCAATGTACTTCAATCAACTCGTCAAACACAGCCGTCAATACTCATTCGATTCTGGATTTCAAAGTATTCGTGTCGTGTTCGRAGTGTTAATTTAAATATTTTGAAATGGTTTCCAATAGTGATATGGGGTTTCTAGCTGTGAATTTGGCAATATTCAAACTGAGAAAAGAAAAAAAGAAAAGAACTAGACGCTGGTCAAAAGAGTGGCTTAAGCTGCGAAGTCGTTTTACTCATGAAAATTTGCTAAACGTTCTTCGAGATACAGAACCAGAAGATTACAAAAATTTTCTTCGAATGGACCAAGAAGGGTTTGAAACTTTACTTGAGCTAGTTAGGCCCAAAATAGAAAAACAAGACACTATTATGCGTAAAGCAATCCCTGCAAGTCAGAGACTTTCTGTGACATTAAGATATCTAGCGTCTGGCATGGATTTGGAAGATTTGAAGTTTATGTGTGATATTGCCCCTCAGACTTTGGAAGGCATCATAATGGAAGCCTCTGATGCAATAATCGAAACATTGAAAGATAATATACAGGTATGTATGTAATTATTTTATTTTTTGAGGTTATCAAGCAAAAATCAAAACCTTTTTCATTTTAAAATATAAAAACAACTTTTACAATATTAAAATCATTATTAACATATTATAATCATTATGAACTATAAAACAACTTGAATAACATCAAAACCTTTTTCATTTTAAAATATAAAAWCAACTTTTACAATATTAAAATCATTATTAACATATTATAATCATTATGAACTATAAAAACAACTTGAATAACATCAAAACCTTTTTTATTTCAAAATATAAAAACTAAAAAAAAATATTTTTTGTTAACTTAAAACGAAGAAAATCTTGACAAGTAACTTGYCACATTTTCCTCTTGAACGGTATCTTCAGAGTTTTGAATTGGAGTATAATTTACTGAAGAAACATAGTGATTAGGAGTGATGTGTGTAATCGGAGGAGAGCTAGGTCTTGAATAAAGTACAGATGTAGGTGATGGAGATGATGATACACAGCTTGACGAATAGTAGAGGGATCTAAAGTTCGTAGTTGTCTGGTACGACGAAGGTGTCAATACAGATTGTGAAGACGTTAAGAAAACCACTCCATGCCTAGTTAATGTGCCCATTTCTGCTTCAAACAAAGTATCATTAATTATTTTTTCCGCAAAACACCTTTGATCTGAATTCAGTCTGGTTAACTTTAGAGACTATCCCTTAGCTATGAAGTCCGATTCAGTTTCAGATTTTTTTAAATATTGTGTAGCTAAGCCAACTAGCTCCTCTATTGAATCCTTTGAAGATGGTTTTTTTTTCTTTGGTGGTAGAGGGATTGGCTGGTCAGTAGACAGTGTCTGTAGGTCTTCACTCAAATTATGCTAAAAAAAAAAAATGATTTTTTTTTACTCAGGTACCAAAAACTGAAGTGGGTTGGAAACAACTAGCTGAGAATTTTGAAGAACTTTGGAACTTTCACAATCGCATTGGTAGTGTAGATGGCAAACATATATTGATTNGTGGGTTGGAAACAACTAGCTGAGAATTTTGAAGAACTTTGGAACTTTCACAATCGCATTGGTAGTGTAGATGGCAAACATATATTGATTAAAAAACCACCCAATTCTGGTTCTTATTACTACAACTACAAAAGTACTTTCAGTATTGTTCTCATGGCTATTGTCAATGCGAAATATCAGTTTATGATGGTAGATGTTGGAGCGAATGGACGAATATCTGATGGTGGAGTTCTGAAGAACACGATATTTTGGCAAAAGTTGTCTCAGAACCAATTAAACATTCCTAATGCACGTGCATTACCCGGCTCAAATAAAACGTTCCCTTACGTGTTTGTCGGTGATGAAGCTTTCCAACTTCAGACAAATTTCATGAAACCTTACAACAGAGCAGTACTCACGGATGAAAAACGGATTTACAATTATAGATTGTCCCGAGCACGCAGGATTGTTGAAAATGCGTTTGGAATTTTAACATCGAGGTTCAAAATATTCCAAAAAAATATTAATTTTGAACCACACAAGGCTAGGAAAATAGTGATGGCTTGCTGTCATTTACACAACTACTTGTCAACAAGAAATAATGGATATTATTTGCAACGTGGTGATGTTGATTATGAAAACAAAGATACTGGCAGAGTAGAAGAAGGTTCATGGAGACAAGGAACTCAGCATGTAGCAGAACTTCAAAGAACTAGAGGAAATTCAGCGGCTGAAGCAAAATAAATAAGAGATGATTTTTGCGAGTATTCAACTCTTCTGGCTCAGTTCCGTGGCAAAACAATTATTTGACTTAGAACCATATAAGAAATAGTTAGGTCGTAAATATAATTATACACATAAATAAATAAAATATATTTGATGTTTACTAACCTCGGAAGATTGAGTTTCTGCTATCTCGACTTGGTCCTTGATAAACAGCAGTTCGTTGTAATACCATACGTTGGGTTCTGGAATATTGTCCACTGATGCACCTGACCATTTCTTATTTTCAATCGCCTTGTAGCATTTGTTAAAATTAGTGCGCAATATATTAATTTTTTGTTTCAATTTCTCTACTGTGAAATCAGATTTATACGGCTTCAAAGTGTCCACAATTGTTTGGAGTGCATTAGCTTTTTTATTTTTATTGAAATAATCTTTTGATCTCAATTGCCATAGTTCAGGATGATCACGATATAAAGTTATCAAAAGTGTTAAAAACTCACGCTCACCACCCGATTCGTCGCCAAGCGGTGTCGATAGTCCGCCATGCTGTCTGACTGATAAATGATAACAATTTCGGAAATATTGACAATAAACGCTTCTAGACATTCAATACGTCCTGTCAATCTTGCCCGTCAATGAGCATCAATCAAAATTTCTATCAATCTCTCTCAATGATTGACAATCCATATCAATATCCTTCTAAACGATCAATACTTGCTTCAATATGGTTCCGTCAATATTATTGATACAAATATTGACAATATTATTGATCTTCTAGGGGCCACTATACAGCAATGTTATTGTAAAATAGTGCAAAATCGTAACACCGGGAGCGCTCCTGGTACCATAAAATAGTGATAGTAAAATAGTAAAATATGACAATCAAAATATTACGAAAATGTGAATATGAAATTTGAATGCCTCCACTTTGAAAATGTTTTTCTTGAACTCTTATTTAATTATTTACAATACCGTCATCAAACACTTTTTAGGCTGTACAAGTAAAGAGCGAAAACACATGTTTCCTCAAGATGACGGTGATTATAACACTTGGTAGCACCGGTGTAATAATGACAAATTATTAAATCTCGATAAATCTATTGTTCGACGCCGGTACGCGGTTTGTCATTTACACTTTCATAGCTCATGTGAGTATGTGACATCCCGGGAACAAAAAAGCTTAAAAAAGGGTCACTACCGACTTTATTTTTACCAAGTAATAATGCAAAAAATTGAATTCTACAATATCGGTGACATGTTTGTATATGTGTGAATGTTTATGTTCTTATGTGGTATGTATTGTAACAATAAAAATTGAATTGATTTAAATTGTTTTTAGTTAAGTCATTTACTTATAAATTATATGTTGTGAATTGAGTATTTGAACTAATATTCATTATTTTACTATCAATGATTATACTAACTATTAGTAATGCTGACAAAAAAATCAATTTATTGAAGCTATAATACTTTTTAATTATTTACCTACTAATACATTCTATGTTATGACTTTGTGAGTTATTTAAACATTTTATACAAATACTTTACTGTCAATCAATGATTTCCTTTCTTAATAATACTAGGAATAATATCTAAATCCTCATGTTTTGTGTATTATATTTAGTATATCTTTGTAGTTAAATGCTATAATATGTTCAATGTATAGTTAATTTAGACATTCATATAATTGAATCTGGGTTCGAGTCCTAGCTGAAAAATTTTTTTCAGGTCATGGATGTCTTACTTTGTTTTAGATTTGTTATAACAGGTTACAATTTTACTAACACAAATTAAATGTCAAACATTTAAATTCATGAGTAAGGGCAAAAGGTAAAGTATTGTCTTATTGAATTTTATATTGTATATATTTAAACATACATTATATTTACGCTGTGTCTATAGAGGCTGCTCAGTTGTATTACTAGCGCTCTGGGGTCCTATTCTCGAAATTTGTCGCATTCGACAAAAATAGAACTCGATCGATTCTGGTTTAATGGTATTCTCGAAATAAGGTGTGACATTACTCGCATGAAAATCGTTCGACATTTTGTCTATTACCTATTTTGACTTCGACATAATTAACTCGAATGATTTTTATTTGCTTGCGCCATAGATTCAATAATTTATTAATCAACATTCAACTGCAGAATAGCCGTTCGTGATTAGTGACTTGTAATTTTTCGTTTACATTAGAATTTATATTCACATTTCGACATCTAGTTACTAGTKAGTTTTTAATAAAAGTTAAATAATTAAATAATAATAAAAATGGCAAACGATTACGAACAAGCTGTAATGTTTGCTATGCTTAACGTTGAGAGACTCGGAGCTCAAAATGTTAGACAACCGTTTGGGGTTAAGGTAAATCCATTCTTAGCATTGTCGGATACAGCATTTGTCAAAACTTATAGGTTGAGTAAAAACTTGACAAATTATTTAATCGAGTTAGTCACTCCATTTATAGAACCACCAAAGCGTTTGTCGTCGTTGAGTATTCAAGATAAGGTACATATTATATATAATAAATCTATATAGGACATCGCCACATCGGTACCTAATATAAAATATATATATATATATATATATTATATACTGTTTTATATGTTACGTTAAAATGTTCTTTAGGTTTTAATCGCATTGCAATTTTTTGGAACTGGGTTTTATCAATTACCTACTGGAAATAGTAGATAGATATAGTGCTGTATCTCAGCCTACTGTATCACGCAGCATTAGTGAAGTAACTAATGCATTTAATCGACCAACTATTTTTAATAGTTGGGTCAAATTTCCTAAAAATATCGAAGAATTAAGAAAGTTACGAAATGAGTATGTATAGGTRTAAATGTATAGAATATAGTTAGGAATGGTATGGAAGTATAGACATAGTTATGGGTAAATTAAAATTGGAAGGTCGGAGCTTATACAGAATATTGCACAATAAATGTGTCAAACTTYATGAGATATTTATAAACCTCAAATGCAATAAAAAGAGCAAGGGCGGATACAAGGGGGACAATTCCTATGCCTCATTATTCCTATTAATTAATTGGTATATTTATAATTAATTAATATTCATGTAATCATATACGTATATATTATAGCCAGATTCCCCCCCCCCCGTTTAGGATTTCTGTATCCGCCCTTGTTTTAAATCCGCCCTTGGGTTAAATTAATCAAGCTGTAATTTTTCATATATTATTATTATAATATGTAATGTAAAATTTGATAAAATAAAATAAAAGAAAAAAAGAAAAAATGTATCTACATACCATTTTATCTTTAGTATCCTTATATTGAAAATAAATAAACAATTCACCTTTTCTACTGACTTTTAGAAACTAAATATTCTTAAATACTTACTAAATGTTCATAGCGTGTTATATTAAATTACACCTAAAATAAACATACTTTACGCCATTTACTCCAACATTTTGAAGTGCCAGGTATAGCATTCAGCGTTTCGGCAATAGCTTCCCACCTTTTCTGAGCTACCTTTTGGGTAAATGTTGGAGTAAATTTACCAGCTACCAATTGAGGATCATTTTTCAATAACTCTACTAACTCTTGCATTTGCTGCTGAGTTGGACGAGACGACATTATAACTAGAAATTATAGACAAAAGGCAAGACAATCTGTTTAATCAAATAAACAGCTAGTATTTACATTTAACAAGCTTACTACTACTAGTGTATACCCAAAGAAAAAAAATAATGTGTATACCGCTTAAATCATATTATTATGATCTAAGGTATAAACTATAGTGTGGTGTATCCGATGATAATGCGATAAGATTTTGATAATATATTATTTTGGCGGAAATATTTCTGATATAAATGATAATAAATCAATGTTAGGTTATACCATTGTGGTTCATTCGACAAGATTATGATTTGTCGACAAAATCTCGAATTCGACTAATTTTTGTCGAATGGCATTGGAGAATAGCCTTTTGTAGTCGACTACGACAAAATCAATAGAGTTTACTCGTATGCGACTTCTTGTCGATCGATTTCGAGAATAGGACCCCTGGGTGGACAACGCTCGAAGTTCTGTTATGATACAATATTACATGAAGGTATACGAATTTGTATTTTTTATTCATCAATACAATTATTCCCCATATTTGTAGTATATAAAACCAATACAATTATGAAATAATAGACAATAGTGTATTATGCAATTTCAAAATCTTAATATATGGTAATTGGTTAATATCATAGGGTATATACCTCTAAACTAGGTCTATGGACAGGGGCGTACTGGGCCGAAGGGTGAGGGGGCGATTGCCCGCTGGGCTGGTATGATTGCGGGCCCTTACAGGTGTATTGGGCCCGTATGCCATGATTTTTTGATCAGTACATTGTGCAATCCACCAGTAATGTAGCTTAGTTTATTTAATGCGTCTGGCGTCATAGTGTACAACACACTCAACACAACAAAACGCAATTATATTATTATATAACCATGGATTATAAATACCTATATTATAATTTATAATCAATGTGTTATAACCATTTTGTTCACGATAAGAATA